AGCCGTCCATGCTGGCCTCAGAGGGGGTTCCGCTGCAGCCACTCGATGCCACGACACCCGGAGCGGATAATGGCTCCAAGCTGTGCTCGCGCATAGCCTTGGCCGCGCAGCCGGCGTTGCCTCCCTGTGCGGAAGCGACCGCGCGGAGGAAGGCAGCTGTGTGGTAGGAAAGGAGCTTGAGGAGGGCGGGGAGAGCGGAGGCGAGATTTGAGCGGCTCGCCGCAGAGCAAGCGGTGAGGTTGCCCAGGACGAAAGAGAGACGCACCAGCAATGCTTCATGACAGCGGCTGTCGGGCGGGCAATGGGCCTTCATTGTTACGAGGAGTATCTCGGCGAGGCGTCGGTTGGTACCGAGGCGCCTCTGAACCTATGCGATGGACGAGCCAACGTAAGCAGCCCCCGAGCGCTGGGCGACAAACGGTGGCGCGAGGCGCCTCAGCGTCGAGGGACAGCTTCGCGAGAACACGAGCGCAAGCGAGGGACACGTCTGCGTCGAACGGCACTGCTCCCATTGTGTCGCATAGCACCTCAACGGCCCCACAAACGACAAATCCGTTCGCGGCGCCTCCGATCACGGCGAGATTGCGCAACGCCACCGTCAGCTGCAAGAGGAGCCGGCACTCGCGTCGGCCGGCGAGGGACTGGTCAACCCCTGAGCGGACTAGCGAGGCCGTCGCGGGCAGCGAGGCCGTCGCAGGGCGCGATGAATCTCGCAGCAACGCTAATAGTCTCTTTAGGCCGTGAGTGAACGCTCCAACCGCTCCAAGCTTTGTGAGAGCTCGGCCGTTGTCCGTGTCCGCCGAGAGGTTCTTGAGGGCGGCCGCCGCGTAGAGCGCAGCCTCAAAACAAGCCTCGCTGTGCAACGCATCGGATGTCCGAGCTGTGGCCGTGGTCAGCGGGCCCACAACGGCAGAGATGGCAGCGGTCAGTCGATGCATCAGGAGCGGCAAGAGCTCGAGCGTTCCAAAGGAGGAGTCGTTGCGCTCATCCTTCGAGAACTTGAACACGCTCTTCAGCACGGCACTGAGTGTGTGCGCGTCTGGCTCACAGGCGAGGATGAGGCGGGCCAGGCGCAGCTGCAGTTTGGTATCTGGGCGGTGCATCAGCCGAGCGCACGCCTCGACGACGCGACCCGAGCGACGGTGGCCGACACAGCCGCCCAGCCAGCGCGCGCGCGGCTTTGCGTCGCCGCATTGCATGCTCAGGTGTCGCCACAGGTCTTCGCAAATCTCACACATTCGCTCCTCTTTCCCGCTGGCGCCACTGCAGAGCTCGTTCAGAAGTTCTTCAATCGACAACCACCATCGATCGTCGTCGTGATGGATCTGTTTGCTGCGCCCTGGGGTGCTGGCCTCCTGTGGCTCGAGCGTGAGCACTTGCGCATCGCCGATGGAATGGGATAGGGCGGCTGCCGAAGCCGCCGTCGCACGCAACGACGCATGCAACGGGGACTTCTTTGAGACGTCGATCGTTCGAAGCGGGCGCACCACACAGCCCGCCCTCAAGTTCATTTCAGTGCGCATTCCTCCCACAAGCTGACTGCGCTCGTCGCACAGCGAGCGGCGCTCCTTGACGTTCGGCGTGAAGGGCCTGGATGGATTCGTCAGCGAAGCGCGTGCCTCGGATATCACAGAGTAGATGCGAGATCGCACCAGCGAACTCTCCCCATCGGTTGCAGCAGCCATGACAGCACCAACGTTAGCTCGGCCGAAACAGACCGAACGGCGACAAAATAACGCGGGGCCCTCACTTGAGGTGAACCTTCTTTTCTAGACGGCTAGGATTGATCAGAGCAGCCTCGCTCTCAATCCTAGAAGTCTAAGGATTGTGAGCAGCACTCCTCGCAATCGTAGCATCTCTGTGCGATTGTGAGCGCCTACGCTCGCAATCCTACATCTATCTTCTATAGACTATAGGATTGCGAGCGGGTCCCCTCGCAATCGGTGGGATCACTGTTTGGATTGTGAGGAGACCATCCCGGCGCGCTCACAAGCGCTCGCGGCTGGAGCGATTGGGAGCGCCCCCTGTGCACCTGCCAGCAATCCTTGGATCTTTGGTACGATTGTGAGTGAGCGCAGCCGCTCATAGTCCGACATACAGACATGTACATGTAGGATTGCGCGCGCTACTGCTCGTAATAGGAGGCATGTTGCTAGGATTGTGAGCAGTGCTGCTCGCAACCCTAGACTTTGCTCGGATTGTGAGCGCGCTGGCAGTAGTCGTAGGCGTCACCAGCCAGTCACCTTGGGAGCGGAGCTGCTCTTAGTCCTAGAAGATGTAGGATTGCGGGCGTAGGCGCTCACAATCGCCGACAGAGATGCTACGATTGCGAGGACTGCTGCTCACAATCCTTCGACTTCTAGGGTTGAGAGCGAGGCTGCTCTCAATCCTAGCCGTCTATAAAAGAAGGTTCACCCTCACGGTAGCACTTGAGCACTGGATAGGGTCGATTCCGCATGGTACGGGACCCCATGAACACCCCAAAGTGCATGCCGTCCGCCACATGGGCTGCCATCGGCATGCACAAGGCGCAAGCTCACCGAACGGCGGGAGGTGTACGCGACCCAGAAGAAATCGGGCCGGGTCGTTCCCTCCGCTGGAGAGAGGTCCATCAGTTCCCGTTCCCCAGGACCTCCTCTCCAGCTGCGACCGTGGATCATAGCAAGACCATGAGAGTGCTCATGCTACAAGAGGAGCTCGTTCAGCTGGATCCGGGGCAGTCGGATGCACTGCCTCACGACATTTTGGGACCCCATCACTCGGCGGTCCAGGATCGAGGTGCACGCCGCCGAGGGACCCCGGAGGGTACATGTAGATCGGGCGGTGTCGTCCCCCCTCTCCCAATCACCTGATTTGTTGAAGCCATCTGATTAATTCCAATTTCCTCCTGTGCAAGAGCGGAGAGGGCTCGGACGGCGCGTGGCGGGGGAGGGCAGGCAGGGGATGGGCGCGGGGGAGTGAGGGGGGGCTCAGCCGTGCGAAAGGCATTACAGTGGGTTGCGGGCATTAAGAAAACGTCGCATTAAGAAACCCTACCAAGAGATTTCCGCAAAAATCTAAGAAACCACGGCGCGCCGCAGGCGCGGCCCCGAGAAAAGGCCAGACACGAGTCTCGAGTGTGAACGGGAGCCCCAGCTCAAAATTTCTCTTCGCCTGCGGCGCGCGCACACTTGTCACTTTCCAAGTCTACGGTGTTCTGAGTGGAGTGGAGATGGAGGCGTGTGTGCGTCTTCCCGTCATCCAGAGAGCCGACTCGGCGGCAGACTCTGGCATCGCCCTCGCGGACCGCAGCTTACCTCTTACCTAAAATCCTTAGGAGGCCGGCCGGAGCTAAGAAACCACGGCGTGGGGTGGATGAGGGCTGTGGAAAGGCTTAGAAACGGCGGCGTGCCGCCGAATCCTGTTTTCTTAATGCCCGCAACCCACTGTAATTAATAATATGAATGAACAAACATTGCTCGGCCGTCCATGGAGTCCGTCTTGATCTGGAGGAGACGGGTCAACCCCGTGAGGACCAGATCACGTGCATCTTGTCGTAGCCGGAGGGGATGTCGATCTTAAGCTAATTGGCGGCGCTTGGTTTATCCCTTTCTTTTGATTCCCCAGACCATCCGGCCAACTTTCCCGATCGTTGCAGCGTTTACCCAAATTTCGATTGCGTTTACCACTCGGGCAAACTCGAGATGAAACGGCGGACGGAAAGCGCGTCGCGGCCTCGCCCCGGAATCTATGCATGTGCGGAGCCGCCCTGACTCCGCACCGCGCCAATGGAGCTTGCGCTGCGGCCTAATCCACCGGCGCAGCAGCGCTGCGATGCATTCTCCAAGCACACTCCCTGGCGTTGCGAGTGCACGAAGAGCGAGCAATAGTCGACAAAAGCACTGATCTGTGCGCAGCGGATCACAATGTTGGTCGCGCCCTGCAAAAGGACAACCGCGGGCCGCGGATACTTGCCCGGACGCGGACCCGCCGTGCGAGTTGCAGACCCGGACCCAGCTGACCCAGAGAGAGAGAGGCCATGCCCAGGGCCAGCCATGAGAGGGGGGCTTTTTTCCATCCGTCCACACGTCGTCACTCCAAGTGCTCCAAGCTCCAAGTGCTCCTCAGCTGAGCTGGGAATAGGACCGCCGCAAGCGGCGTGGCATGGAGCGGTTGAGCATCCCTCCTGGGGCCCCTCTGCGCCGGGGAGGCGTTGTTGGAGGCTAGGACGCAAGCGTCCGTCGCCCTTTTATTTACACCCGGGGCCCACTCTAGGGCCCACTCTTTCCGCTGCGGAGGATAACGCGCACCCACCCACCCTAGAGGGGTCAGGGCTATCTTGCCCGTAGCCCGGTACCAATCGTCCGGCCTCTGGGTGCGCTTCTTAGCTCCCCGGCCCTGGGCGTGCGGTTAATGACTGCACTCCAAGTGCTCCAATAAATAAATAAAATAAAAACGGACACCTCTCTTCTTCAAGTGCTCCAAGATAACAGGGGGCACGTGTGTTTTTGTTACAACATGCACATGTACATGTGCATGTGGCATTGTGCATGTGGATGTGGATGTGCATATGCATGTGCATGCCCATTTTCCAACTCAAGAACAAGAACCGTGAATATCTCCCCAACATCCACAACGCACAATCAAAACTATGGTCTATCGTGCCGTCTCATCCCCGCGTTCATGCGGCTTCTCCGGTTCTTCGCCGGCGCCGGGCCGCGGGCCGGGCGCTACACCGCTAGCTCGCGCCCGGCCGCGAGGCGCGCAGGCGGCTGGGCGGGCTGGGCTGGCCGCGCCCGCGTTCGTGCACTTTTCACTCTTCGGCGGCGAGCTCGTGTTGTCGTGAAAGACGTATACACGTTAACATTACGGCCGAATGCATCCACATCCAACATATATATTACGAGAGCTCAATTCCGACCACCACGCACCAGGGGCGTCACGTACTCCTGTATCGCGGTCGACATCCATCACCGCGGCACCCCATGTCGCTCCGCGCCGCCTCGTACCGCCTCCCGCGCTTAGATGAAGAGGTAGAGGATGTACTCAAAGTAGAAGAGGTTCCAGATCTGGCCGTAGAAGCGCTTGATCGAGGCGGCGGAGGCAACCTCTAGCCGCCGCCAAGCCAGGCCAAGCCAGCCGGCGGCGAGGGCATGGCCGCCCGCCATGAGTGTGGTGCGGAAGACGCCCGGCGCGGCGGCGAGGGCGGTGGCGATCGCGCCGACGTAGTTGAGAGCGAGCATGGCGGTGGCTGCGGCAGCGACGCGCCCGGTGCCGAGGCGTGTGGCGAAGGTCTCGATCCCGCCCTTGCGGTCGCCCTCGACGTCGGGCAAGTCCTTGGTCGCCGCGATGACGACGCCGTACACGGTCATGAAGCGCGCGAGGAAGGACACCTGCGGCGCGAGGGAGGACCGTTGGGTACCACTGCTGGGCCCGCGGGGAGGGAGGAGAGGGCAGCTGCAGCGGACGGCGCTGGGAGTGTGTGTGGGTGTGGCGCCGGCGACGGCCAACAGACAGTGAGGCCAAATGGGGGGAAAGGGGGGGGGGGTGTTCAGGGACGGAGTCACGACGTGTGGGCTGAGCTGGCTCTGGCAGCGGCACCTGCGGCGACCAGCGGAAGCCGAGGCCGAGCGCCTCGCGCGTCGCATAGTAGACGCCAAAGTTGAGCAGGAAGCCTATTATTTCTTTAGTTAAAGATAATACCAAAGTTGAGCAGATTTCTGGAGGTGTGGTTGGAATACGGGGGGAAAAGGTGAAGAAAGGGAAGGGCCTCCCGCCACCCGGGGAAGGGGGGGGAAGGAAATCCCCCGCCATCCGGGCGAATATTTAAAACCCGCCAAGGAACCGGGAAACCCCTTTCCGGGGGGAAAGGGAGGGCCCCCTGTCCGGGGGGGCCCC